TGGGTTTGTACTCAGATGATGGGCTTGGTGGGTTTTATTCTGCTCTGGTCCCCATTGACAGCTGGGAATTTGCATCTCATTGAAAGGTTTAATTGCACTGTGGTTGCAAACCGCAGTTACCTTTGAACTTCTCGCAGATCAACAAGTCGCACGGATGGAAAAACTAGCCGGGCTGGTGGAAGAGCTGGAGGCAGATGAGTGGAGGTACAAGCCAATAGAGCAGCTCCTGGGATTCACTCCCTCCTCGGGCTGAACATGTCTGGATCGCTGCTGTCAGGGAGCAGAAGGAAAACATTTTCTGGCCTGGCTTCAAAACACACCCCCATTTATCAGGATGCTGACAGCTGCACCGGCAGGACTGGGCTTTCAAAAAAAAATTTTTTTTAAGTTGAGAGTGGGGATCCCCCATGAAGCTGCCAGTAGATGGAAGTTGTTTAAGTCCTCCGCAGCGTTGCAGGCTGGCAGGGTAGGATCAGTTTTACAGAACTCGGAGAATCACCTTATTGTTTACAGAGGAGGGAAGACTGACAGCGTGGTGGTGGGGAAGACAACCCAGTACCTCAGTCTGGCCTTTCCCCAGCGCGTGTCTGAAGGACTGGGTGATCTGTGGGCTGCGAAGCCTGCACCTTTGGTGCTCAAGCTGGGCCTCTGTAGAACAGAGGTACAAGGCTCTGCCAAAAATGCTCTGCAGCCTGAGCCATTGTTTTTGGGGGTGGACAGGACTGTCCCGGGTCAGCTGAGAGGGGGCAAGTGGTGCAGCTTTATCCAGAGGTACTTGGTGTATCGCCGGAGCCATTTTCTCTCCCTTGCTGTTTCTCTCGTGTCGGCCCAGCAAGTGCTGGCAGGACAGTGCTCTTTAGGAACTGTTATCTTTCATACCCTGAAACTCTTTTTCCTCTTTGTTATGTATTAGCTTGCTCTGTGATAATAAAATAATTCTGTCTGTGAAATCATTTATCTTTTCAAAGCTGGGGAAGGGGGGGATTCTGTTGAAAGAAACAATCAGCTGCTCAGTAGGTAACGGGAGGTTTAATGAAGCTCAGAGAAATCTTGGCTGTTACAATGGTCAGCTTAGATTCAGGTTTAAAAAAAAAGAGGAACCAAACCACACTTGCTTTACACTCAAAAGTGGCTTGATTTAAATCAGACTGAAATCCTAGTTTAGCTCTGCCAGCAGAAAACCCTTATTTCAATCCATTGATTTTAATCATCTTGTTTTTCATTTGTATTTCACGACTGTTCTTGAGGGGAACTGGATTTCCATTTTCTGGCATAGCCATTTCAACATGATCAGTTTCCATTGATTGGAGCTCAAACGCCACATTTTTGTTAGCCAGCAGGGGGATAGGCTCAGCTCTGTATTTAAGCAATTGTAGAACTTATTGCTCCAGATGCCTATTCTGACATTTTCAGCATCTTATTTACAAGATTATTTTATTTTTACTATTTCAGTCCAGCCACATCTGGATTGAAACAGATTAATTCAAATCCATCCCTGTCTTAGTTGTATCACCGGCAATTTGTGTTAGCTAAAACTAAAGGGAAAGTGTGTGCAGACACCTTCTGCATTTGCTTCTGTTCATCAGTTAGTTCTAGTATCAACATCAGCTTTTCATGACCCAGAGCCACCCAAAAGCCAGCCCTGATCTGTGGATGCAGCCCCAGTTCCAGCTCTGCACCCGTGGAAATTGGCTCTACGCTTTCCCAAACCGTGTAACGAGCATGCTCACATAAGGCTACAGCTCAGCTGAGACGTGTCCCACGCCACCTCCTCAGTGCATGGCGCGGAAAACCTCCCCCCCGGCCCTGGAAGGCTGCCAGCCCCATCTCCACAGGGGCCTCCTGCACAGTAAGCGGCTCCTTGGCCAGTATCGCTTGGAATATGATGCCATTCACTGGGAGAACTCCATCCCAGATGGGGCTGTTTTGAAAAGAAGGGAGTGTTTCAATAGGCAACTTGTTTGTTTGTTTTAAAACCTATATTTTTAAGCCTGCTTACTCCAGCCACCTAAATTTACCTTGGCCAAATTTGCCCAAAAATACCACCCCCCCATATCAAGACAAACACCGTGGGGTTTAGGAATGGAGCCGTGCACCTTCTGCCTCCAGCCACGCAGCTCACGCCACATCCCACCCACTCCCCGACCCTACGTGCTGCAACCAGCATCATCGGATGCAGAAAGAGCTTTTTCCTTTTTACTGCTCGCCATGAAACTTTTCCACTCCAGGAGCCCCCTGGGGACGCCAGGAGATCGGCGCCTGCGGCTTTGCCGACGGGATGCGGTGGCCAAGTGTTGCCCAGATCCCCCTGCAAGCCCCATGCGTGTCAAAGGGCCCGAAACACAGAGGGGCTGAGATTTTCCTGGGGCAGCCTCCCTCGCCCTCCTCTCCCATTCCTTGTTTTCCAGCTGCTTCTCGGTGTTTCTTGGTGGCGTGCCGGGCTCGCAGCTGGACAGAGCGGGAGCAGGGAATGTCCCGGGCTCCGTGCCGTACATGGCTTGTTTGTATGTGCGCCCAGCACCAAAATAGACACATATGCGAGAGCCATGGAGAGGAAGTGAAAAGTTCACCCTGTACAGTACTACAAATGCAAAAACATGTTGTTGGCTGTTCCCTCCTCCTCCCGCTCAGTAAACACTTGGTGGAAGGCAGCAAAAACCAGAGGGATTGCGGCACGGTAAAATAAAAAAGAAAACCCCTGCGCTCCCCCTCCTGCAAACCCAGGTTTTCCCTGGCAGCTGGAAACTCCCCAGCTCCCCAGTTTCTGCTTTGCAGAGATGGTAGTTACCTACCCTGAGTTCCTCCTCGGGGTTTTGGTGCTTTAATCCCCCTCTCCCCAGCTCGGGGGTCTCTGCAGCACTGCCAGGGGCTGGGCGAGCAGCTCAGGGGCTATTTGGAGGCTGCAGCTGGGAGGGAAGCAGCAGGGGGAAGGGAACCCATCAGCTGCAAGCGAAAGTTGACATGGGGAGGGAAAATAAAAAAAAAAGAACAAAGAGCCCCGTTCAGGGCTGCTGGTTGGTTTTCCTGTGGGTGCTCGCAGCAGAACGTTATGTACCGGCTCACAGGCCCTGTTCGCGCCTCCCTCCCCTGCTCCTTGCACTGCTGGCCGCGGCCCCAGTGCCGGGGATGGTGCCAAGGCATGCACTCGCCTTGCCGCCTGGCCAAAACACCAGGCTGGGGAGGGCCTCTCCCCCTGCCAGGGCTACGGGAGCATGGGGCAGCACCCCAGCAGCTGCCCAAAAAGCCAGCTCCCGACTTTTGCCTGGGATGGGGCAGAATCACCTGAGGGGAGATGAATTTCAGAGCCCCCACCCTGCAAACAGCACAGTGCCAACCTGGCACTCGCCATCTCAACTGCCAAAACCCCTTCACCATCTTCCTCAGATGCACGTTCCTTGCTTCTCTGCCCGCCTACCGCATGGTGCGGGCAGGCAGCCTGGCTGCAGCTGCTTGTCCTGGGGGGGAGAGACGGGCCCAAAAGATTTGGCTGCAGCCAAGACCTGCCCGGTGGGCAGCATGCTGGGTCTTGCCGCCACATCCTACCCAGCCCGCAGCCTTCGGCTCGCCTGGTAGAGCCGGCCGGGGGCTCAGTGCACTGGCAGAGGATACACAGGGTCACCTCTTGTGTGCCCATCACCCCTGCCACAACCAGGGACCTGGGGACCAAGGATGGGGCCAGAGAGGGTGCAAAGGACACCCACCCTGCAGGCAATTAGGTGACACCCTGAAAACTGCAGCCTCCCCACAGCTCAGCCCCTTTGTTGCATTCCCTGCATGAATGCTTGGACACAAGAAGCACACCAGCATCTCTGCCAACCCCAGCTGGCGATCGCATGCTGAAATAACAAGAAAATCTACCTAAAAGTGCCTTTTTTGGGCCACGGAACTGCTGGGAACCAACACGAAGATGGTGACTGCACCATGGGGTGTGACAGCCACCCCATGGGGCAGGAATTTGCCCCTTTGGTGTATGTGGAGCACAGTTTGCACCCGATGTGTGCTGAAGCGCTGGCTGAGCTCCTGTGCATCTCCTCCCTTCCTCCTCCTCCTCCCCAGCCCACTCCCCCCTGCAGCCCTGCAAAACCGCTGAGCTCAGCACATCCCGGGCAGGGGCCCAGCCAGGACCCTCCCCAACACCAGCCCGCCCCCGTCAGCTCCTGCTTAACCCTTTGCAAAGCCAGCCGGGCTGGAAATCGGAGCAATCGAGCAAATCTCATCACAGGGGGTGTCCCACAAGGCACAGCTGTCCAGGAACACACTGTCCAGAAAGTTTCATCCATTGTCCTTAGCTCCTGCCTCTGCTCTCCCCAGAAAGGACGCCAGTTCAGGGGCAAAGATGTGCTGCTCAGCCACAAAAATCACCCTGTGTTTACAGCAGCAACAGTACCTGGGGAGGGGAAGCGCAGGGGTTACGAACACTGTAGTTAAAATGTTGCTTTCCAGTCCCAAACTATTTCCAGAGGCTCTGCTGCAGAAGATCAGCCTGGGTCACACTCTCTTTTGGGAAGAAAAAGAAGCTGCAAGCCCCGCAACACCTCCTCCCTGAGCAGAAGCACAAGCATGCAGCATTGTGTTAGGATCATTTTATTTCAGGGATCAAAAATTATGTTTCACTTTAAAACTTGCCAGCGCACCAGAGGCTGCTCGCTCCCCTGCCTACCAGGAGATGTTATGGCAAAGAAAGAAAAATATTTATGCTTAGCTTCAGAATTCAAGCTTATTTTTAGCAAGGCACCTTCCCTGCGGTCCTTCACCTCTTTTTCATTTATTTGCTGTTTTCCCGCTGTCCTGACCCTAAGGCCAGCCAGTTCCTCATCTATTTTCAGCCTCACCCAGCGAACATTTATACCAACGACTTGGTGGTTGTGGGGAGAAAAAAAACCCCACAAGCTAGATTTTGTTAAAAACAGGATTCCAAGCACCATCCGACTGTTTCCGAGCATGCGTGTGCATATTTCTCTGTACTGCAAGGCGAGTGCACAAATATCGGTGTATGTTGTTAACACCTGGGGTTGGGGTTTGTTCAGTGTTTGTCCTGAAAAGCGGAGCGGTAGCTCTGCGTGCTGCAGGCACAAGTCAGGGCTTGTTCCCAGCTCCCCGCACATCCCCTCCGCCCCGCTGCTCCTCAGGATGCTACCTGCTCCCCTGGCTTGCACCTCTGCTCCCAAAATTGTGACAGATTCAAGCCCTGCTTCTTTGACCCCTAAAAACAGATTTCCCCAACACCACACTACTGGTGGGGTTCCTGGACCCTCCAAACCCACCACCCCACAATTCTTGGGTGGGAGAATTTGTCCCTGTCGCCCTAGCACAGAGGTCACAGGCTGTGGGTGCAATGCCAGCGCAGGGGTCCTGTCCCCCTCGCTCCCGGCCAGTGTTTGCTGTCTGCTGTGTTTGCTGCTGGGCTGTTGTCAATCTCTGCTTGGGAA